CGTCGGATAAAAAAATTCTATAGTTAGTGTCTTCGTAATTGATAAGAATTGATGTAGGAATTTTAGACAGATCTTCGTGTTTAATAAACGTTTGGCGACGAAAGCTTAAAATGTGTGTAAAATCTTCGACTTGGATTCCAGCCTTTAAAAAAGTTATCGGGCTGCAGAGAGATATATTTAGTTTGGCGAATTCGTTTGCGATAACGTCCGGAGGTATGTTGGGGTATACGTTGGACAGGATGACTCTTTTGTTTGGGTTGTATAGTTTACGTAATTTGAAATGTTGTTCTTGTATTAGGATAGATGGGTGATTTTCAATTAGATTATCAACTAATGTCTTGCTCGATAGGAATATACATATACGTTCTTTAGATATGCGTGACGCAAATAGAATATTAGAAGGTTGAACTAGTTTGCCGATAGCGATTACGTAATCTTTATGTGGTAAGCTCACGTTTATATCAATTACTATAGCTTGGTCTTTTTTCGGTATTAAGCTATTAGCGACAGTAGAAGCAAAAGATTGTTTACTATTGTCCGTGTTGGATGGGGTTTCTGGGTAATTAACGATGGGTATCTTTGTTGAGGTAGATTGTTGTTGGAGCTTGAGGTCTGATGTTGTTTTGGTTGAAATAGGTTTAGCGATGATTTTTGATGTAATGGTTGATGTGGTTTTATTTTTTAATTTTTGAACGATGTTAGTTTGTACAGTTTTGCGGATTGAAGGGCTTTTCAAAGCCGCTGGTTTTGAAGTTTGCATTTTGGTGGTTGGGCTTTGCGCCCGGTGAGTTTATTGTATATTAGCTAATAGCGTAATTAACGTGCATATTACCTGAGATACGGCGAGTGTAAATTGTATAACGTACTGCTATCGGAAGCTATTAAAACGGTACTCGTGAGACGCGATAAGGTACGTGTTGACTGTACGGAGTCTAACGACGAACTGAATTTTGAAGAATTATTTGTATTATTTTATTTAAATTTTTTATACAATTCTTGTTTATGTGGTACAGTTTTTAAGAATTTGTTATTAAGGTCATACCAAAGTAGGTAGTACAAATCAATTAACTTCGTTATTTTTATATTTATTTTGAATTTGAAATATTCTTAAAATGTTGTTATTTTAATTATTAAAATAATAAACTTAATTCTTTAAAGCTTTAAAGCTTTAAAGTAAACATTGATTATCCTTATATGTAAATAAGTTAACATTTAATTTTTTTTTTTTTTTTTGGTGGGGGGGCAATTTTTATTTAGCCAGGAGCGCCGCTATTGATCGCCCGGCTCTGTTTGGGCTCTCCTTTAGGGCATACGTAACTGACCTCAATTAATTTTCTCACTGTATAGGTAATATGGGTACATGCCATAGGTATATATATAATACATATTATATTATATCGTACATAAATATGTTTAAATTTTTTTAATAACTAAAAATACATTTCTTATCAATTTATATGTAATATGTAGTTTCTACTTTGATTATAACTTTTATAAGTAAGTTTTATAACACTGAAATAGTAGATACTTTAATACCTACATATATTTTGTACTTACCTCTCCTTTCAAACCGTTACTAGTGAAAAAATTGGCCATCATTGAAAACCTCATTTCGTAGTCGGGTAACGACTTTTGGAAACACTCTGGGACGTCCTCGTCCTTTGTCATGTGAACATGTGTTCCATTTTCCACACGGTCGCCAGTCATTTTAACATTTTCCACGCACTATAATATTATAAATTATAATTGTGTATACTATTACTATATAGTATGTACGTTATAAAATAATATATGAGTACTTTTTTTTTAAATTTAATAAACACATAATTATTTTTTTTCATACATAATTCCTAAAACAAGCTATAGTTCCTGGTATATCTTCACACTATACTTGATATTAATGAAAGTACTTTAACATTTTTCAGTTCACATTTTATTACAATATTTCAATATAGCATCACAACGAAAATATTATATAGGTATAGGTATAGAGTATAGACGTACCTATTAATAGTAACAACATTAATATAGTTTTAGATTTCAATTACCTAAATCACCCAACTAAATTAAAACTTATGGTACTGTTACGTGGTATATATTACGTTAACAATAAAACGTTGTCTATCACTATTCACTGGTATACGTTATTACGTTATACCCGAAATGACAGATTAATACCAATAAGTATAGGAGAGAATTTTGATGTCAGACAAGACTGAATATATATTTTACTTTACCGATGACATGGTACCAATGGCAATACATGGAGCAATTGATGAAACGAGATTATTTTGGCATACTTATATTTAGTAGGCCGGACGATTATTATTATACATTTTGATAATTAATCAAAATAGTTATACCTATAAATGGCTCCATGATATTACACAAACACAATGAATGAAAGGTGACACACGCGTCTTGCAATCTGGACTCATTGTAGCAGTGTTGGTAATTAGAACTAACCTACGAAAAGGTGGTAGACTAATTTGCCAGACTACGCATTAGCCTGTCCATGGGGCGATTGCGACTGGTGGTACGAAAGGGGATGACAAATGGAGCAGTGGAACGTGTGGAATGTTGAGGTACTCGAAATTGTATTCAGGAAAGGAGAGTAGGACGTAGGTGCATCATATGTACCATCAATAATTCTCTGAAGGAATTTAAGATTTACATTAGCTCTTCTGTCTGCTAGGGTGTAATAAGTAATAACTTACGTAAATATATATCAGAAGAATAAAATATAAATAAGGTACATAATGGTTTTTGGTGTTTCACACCATTACAGTACACCGTATATTATATGATTATTGATTAGGTATATAAAATAAAATATTTTACAGGTATAGTAGTGATTTGTCTACCTATTGATATTTTTTTATAATAAGTATTTATACAGGGTTATGCACTAAACATCCTCACCCACTTTTTTCCTTTGATAATGCATTTATTAAAATTTTGATTTTTGAGTAGGTGCCTAAATACACCAGTTTTTTAAATAATTAGATTTTTATGACATTTAAAGGTTGTCCTGTGTATCAGTGTCAAAACAAACTTTTTTTTTATGAGAACCACATTTTTACTGTAAAATTTCAAGCATATGATGTATTTTAGATTCTGAGTGGAACGATGAATGTATTGATTTTACAATGATGTGTTTTTTTTAATTTTTTTATTTTTGTGTCGGTCATCACCTTTTAGGACAGTAAAAGTGCTTGGATTTTCTTCAGCAGTATCTTTTCTAATAGGAAAGTGAATCTAGTTGGTAGTTGGTACTTTGCTACTTACTTAATTTCGCAGTAGTTTTCAAAAGCTGCGTGAAAAACAAAATAAAAATTAAGGAAAAATTATAAGATTATCAGCCTTTATCAAAAAAAAAAAAATGTCTATAAGAAAGTCAAATTAAATTCTTATGAGCGTTTGAAATTCAAATTTTTACAACATTGGATATTCACTCGATTTCTCATGTAGCGATTTCCTTATTTTGTTGTAATTAAAAAAACGAATGACTGTAGATACATGAAAATTTCACTGAATGTTTATATTATTAGCATTTCCTATACACCATACAGTTTTGAGAATATTTTGACTCTTTTTGAGCTGTTTACTTCTAAAGTACACTATTATATATCGATGGACTATGATAGGATCAGGGTTTGTTGTTGATGTATAACGCATTATAGTACCTAGTGGATATTGTGGTATGAATAATTTAGGTATAATTAATTAGGTACCTATTATAGGTCAATATTTTTTAAAATGCCATAGATAAGTATATAATATTATGTCTTATACCTAGACTGGCTTACCGTCTCCGCTCGGCGCTCAGAATCGTTTTTCTTATGTAATGATATTATATCATGGAATTCAAATTTAATACCATTCATTATACAGTGACCCACTTGTAACCTACTGTACAGCAGAGCACCTTTTAAGAAATGTTGATGTACCTACCTGTCCTACCTATATAAAAAAAATCCAATCAAGTAGTTTCTAAATTACTATGCACTTTAAGAACTAAGGATAAAAGTCAATTTTTTGACTAATGAATAAATAATAATGATATTGAACATTTTAGACTTCATAGTAGGTCTAGGTAATTATTAATTAATATCAATATATCAGAATTTTATACTTGTAATAGTTGTACCTATATGAGTAAATAGTATAGTAAGTAGTAGAATATTACATTTACATATATTTTATATGAAACAATTACCAAGGATTATTATCCTTATAATACGTTATACAGACATATAGTATAAATAATGTTTAATAATTCAGAAACACAGGCTATTTTGAATTATGTAAGTATGTAATTAACTACTTACTATACATAGTGTAATAGTATAAATAATGCTACGTAAACGTATGACAAAAATTGTGAGAATTATATGTTTAATAAACAATTAAACAAATATACTCATGCTAGAACATTTTAAAAAACAATATTTTGAAAAAAGATTATTAGTTTGTTATGTTCTAAATTAATTTACTTAAAAAAATATTGATATTTAAAAATTTTTAATAAATAAACTGATTGACTTAATTAAATGTTTTTACTATCCAAATTGTTATGATAATCGATGGCTATTTTGAATTTTTCCAAACATTTTTTAAATTTTCAGTATTGAAAAACAAAATATTTTTTTTTTTTTTTAAATTTAAAATACTGATTAAAACAAAAGTTATTTCATACATCAGGTATTCATGTTACACCGGTCGACACAATATGTGCCTATAGGCTATAATAATATGTACCTTATACATTTTTTATAAATACTAAATACAATAGCAGTACTATAGTGTGCTTAACAGTTAAGAGGTTCCCAGTAAAGGAATAATTTCATTATGCGAAAGAAAAAGAGAATAATCTTTAAATAGGTATACTGAAAAATTTCAGAAATCTGAATTTGATTAGGTACCTAAATACATTAGGTAGCATATTAGGGTATTAAAAGACAAAAGAAAGATGAGCATGCGCTTGGTGATGAATCAATCTATATAGTGACAGATGTACTCGCCTTACTGTCGGCTCCCAAAAACGGATATGGTCCAGCACACGGTCCGATGATGAACAAAGGATCGGACCTAGTAATCCGTTTTAAATCTTTGACGTTATATAATTTTTCTCGCTTTACCGAAGGTACTACATTGGTGACGTCGCCGATGTCAAATACGTTTTCGTCGCCACATAGTCCTATAGATACGCATTAATAAAATATTTACCTACACATTATAGTTCATGGATAATACACATAATATAGGCATATTAGTAGGTTAATATTTTATGTTTAGGTACCTTCAGAAGTCAAGTTAAACGGTGGTTGGGTTAAATCTGGACATTGAACTACTTCTACACTTACATTTTCAAAGTTGTCTAATAACTCAGGTAATATGGCTGAAAACAACGTATAATTTTGCATTTTTAATAACACGATTCTGTAAGTATACCTAGGTTTAATCATATAATTTTAAAAAAACCTTCTTGTATCATTAAAGACTAGACATGCATTATATTTAAATTTCATATACATGAAATATCATAATATATCATTCATTAAAAAAAATGAAAATAATAAGTATAATGTAAGTAATTATATATTATATATAATATTGTAGGCATGGTCGTGGAGAAAGAGACCCGGTCCGGGGCCCGAGTATAATACCTTGAGGGCCATACTACTTTTGACTACTATTGCCATTAACTTAGTCATGTAACTTTTTTTTTTTTTTGCTGCGTTCAACAAATTCTTATTATTAATTGTTTCTTTAGTTAAAAAAAATTGAGTAGTCCCAAATTTCCGGGCCCTCATAAAAATTCCAGTTCGAGGGAATTAAAATGGTATAAGACATAACAACGTTTTATTATTTTTGTCCAACTCTGCACCGTATATAATAAAGTGTGGAACATCTTTGAACGCACTCTACTCTAAAATGGACAATGGTACATGTGACTTGTGCTGCTCATGGCCTACATAGAGTTTTGGAGGAAGTACGAAATCAGTTTGGTACCTACTGTTGATAAAATCGTAGCAAACGTAAAAAAAAAAATATTTAAAAAAACACCATCAAGTATACAAATTTTCAAAAATTAAGCACCGGGGATCCCTTTACCTCCGGAACCAATCATAACCCGTTGGGATACCTGGATCAATGCCGTACTTTATTATTGTAAATACTATGAAAAAATTTGTGATGTTGACGACTTGTTTTTCTGCATACCATAAAAATTCATACACTCACTTTAAAAGAATATTAAAGAATTTAATATTGAGAATTGTTTATAAATGTACCTATATAATTTTCACTGTTCTTACATTTGATGCATAGTCTACATCCTAATTCCCAATACATTTCTTCAGTTGGTTATCAGTAGCCACCACGACAGTTTGTTCTCAGCGCTCTGTTCAATCCCAACGTTTCTGTTTCTTATAATTAATCTTATTCAATGAATCCTAAAAATAATAGTAGTTCTCCTTAAGATCACAATCTTCCAGATACTTAAAAAAAAAAAAATTCAAGAACTAGTAGTTTTGCTCTCACTCCTCCTTATACAAGTAAAAATAGATTCGCTCCACTTCTAACTCTCCAAGTCAACGACAAAACGGAAGGCACCAAAGACGAAGTCAGCTCTCAACAATCACAGGTTAGACCAAAAGTTCCACCTATTTACGTATACAACATTTCTGATTATCAAAACTTCCATACATCATTAGCCAGCATAACTTTTGATGAATTCTCCATCGCGAACACAAAATCTGCTCTCAAATTAAACATGGATTCTATTGACGATTATAGAACTGCAACAAAACTTTTCGACGATTCCGGTATAGAATACCACACTTACCAATTCCCAGAAAACAAACAACTATCCGTTATCATTAGGTACCTCCCTGTAAATATATCAGAAGCTTGTATAAATAAATAACTCGTAGAACTGAAATTCGGAGTAGCCTCGGCCACTCGTCTTCAAAATAAATTTCCAAACTCCAATACCTATCGTAGCGGTACTGCTATCCAAATCATCTGCTGATATTTACTCTCTAAACAGACTCTTGCATTGTGTAGTAGAGGTAGAACCAAGGCAACCTTCCAAGGGCATTCCTCAATGAACTAACTGTCAGCGTTCTTCACATGCAAAAAAGTTTTGTCACTTACCACCTAGATGCATCAAATGCGCAAGTGACCACCACTATAGTTCTTTCCAAAAGAAATAGAAACTCCACCAAAATGTGTAAACTGCCTTAGCGACCACCCAGCGAGCTACAGAGGCTGTACTTTCTACAAAAAAATTAAAAAAAAACAAAAAACAAATATAACGCTACCCAACTTCCAAGCAATTATACGAAATTCAAATTCCCGGTAAACATCTCTAATAGTACACAAATTGACGTAACCGATAAACGTTCATATGCTGCAGCAACTAAAAATAAATTGCAAGATAAACCATTAAACAAGACAGATAACGACTTCATAAAACGCTGTTACCCTTAATTAACACATTCGTTTCTCAATTATTGCAGAAAATAATAAAAAATCTGCCAGCCATCCTTAATAGCGTACATCTAAACTCAAATGGATCCCCATAATACCATTCTATTAAACTGGAATGCCAACGGACAAAAATAAAAAGAATACTCTACTAGCGTTCCTTACTCATCATAAAATTGATATCGCTTGTAGGTATAACAGAAACACACTTATCAAGTTTAGACAAAATTAAATTCCCTGGTTACAATTTATACCTCGCAGATCGTGTTACACAATCACGAGGTATGGGTGGAGTAGCTATCTTAGTCCGTAATCAAATTATTCAACAACAAATGCCCACACTAAATCTGTTATGTCTAGAAGCCGTAGCTGTGCTAATTAGACTCAATAATCGACCTGTTACTCTGGTTAGTGCTTATCAACCTCCCAACCGTCATATGCATATCTCAGATTACGAGCAATTAATGAGTCTTAGGGCCGATTTCACCAACACAGTTAATCACGATTAACGTTAACCGGAGTTTTAATCGGCCGAATTTGGCCGGTTAAATATCTGTTATCAGTCGATTAAGCGTTAACCGTGATTAACTGTGTTGGTGAAATCGGCCCTTAATAGCTCAATTATAATAGCCGGAGATCTAAACTCCAAACATACAAATTGGGGCTGTCGTGTTATCAACCCGAACGGCCGTAAATTACAATAATTTATAGCCAACACGTTTTATACAGTATCCGCTCCAAGTGAACCTACATACTTTCCTTAGGACGTAAATCAACTTTCCGACATATTAGACATTCTAATACTCAAATCACTCTCATTTAATTGTGTACATGAACCCTTAGCAGAACTCGACTCAGACCATGTTCCGGAAAAAATAACATTAAATTCATCTCCCCATATATACCAGAAAAATTACTCATTAATTAAAGGTAAATCAGATTGCATACAATTTTCTAACATTGTACAATCTAGTCTAATAATACCTAAAACTATTTCTACGATTCAAACTGCTGAACAAACAGCCGATCACTTCACGGAAGTCGTCACGGATGCTTGTTCAAACCCTGCATTGACAAATAAACCTAGTTCCGGTATCATACCAGTATACCACCATCCATTTCTTCATTTAAACGACGCAAGCATATCATTAGGCGCATTTGGAAAAATCACAGAAATCCTACAGTCAAAAAAATTCTAAATAAACTCACTAAAGAAGTCCAAGTGGCTCTTTAAAACTACAGAGTATCCTCGTGTAATAAATTTTTGTCTAACATGCACCCCGGAGAGTCAAAGTTGTGAAAAGAAACTAAGAGATTACTTAATTAAGAAATCAACATCATCCCTCTTCTCCGCACAGACTCAAATCTAGTTATGTCTGACATAGATAAATGTAACGTGTTCTCAGATATTCTGCATCTCACTTTTTCGCATAACCATATTATAGGTAATCTCAACAACGATTCTAGAGTTAAGCATGCACTGGAGCAAACTGACTACTCGGTTCAAAAATGTATTGGTTACGTAACTCCAAACGAAGTTAAGCAAATTATTAAGAATCTTTCTAATAAAAAAGCACCTGATCACGACAAAATCACAAATCTCATGTTCAAAAAATTACCTTCAAAAGGATTCGTCCTGCTGTCTACCTTATTTAATTCACTGTTACATCTTGGTTATTTCTCTGTCAAATGGAAAATAGCAACGGTAATTCTTATAAAAACCTGGAAAAGACAAGAACAATCCTGATAGCTACAGGCCTCCTAATATCTTTATCAAACATTTTTGAAAAAGTCATACACACCAGACTCCTCAATTATTTGAACATCACGGACGCCATTCCGAAATTCCAGTTTGGTTTCAGATCAAACCACTCTACCGTCCAAGGTCCAACAACTACTAAGGATCACGGAACACATCAACTCTGCGTTTGAAATGCACTGTCACACTGGCGCAATATGTATTGACATTTCAAAGGCGTTTGATAAAATGTGGCATGAAGGCCTCCTTTTTAAACTACGTAACATAAATACACCAACATATCTTTTTAATATAATTCGCTCCTTCCTCCTTAGTAGACAATACTCAGTCAGAATAATGACAGTGCCTATAACCTCAAGTCTATCTCTGCTGGTGTACCTCAAGGTTCCAAACTTGGTTCTATTTTGTTCAATCTATACGTTTCCGACATCCCTCAGTCACCACGCACACATATTTTTCTCTTCGTTGATGATACAACCATCTTCAAGGAATCACGCAACATCGAAGCAATAACTACAAATCTGCAAGATCACTTAAATACTCTCTCACACTGGTGTCAAAAAAAACTGGAGGATCAAAATGAACGCTTCAAAGAGCATTGGAGTTATTTTTAGTCTACGTCGCTATATTATCCCCCCACAACTAAAATTTGACAGTAAAAATATACCCTGGCAACCGACGGTTAAATACCTCGGTGTAACTCTTGATAAACGACTCACGTGGCGGCTCCACATTGCATCCAAAGTCCAGCAAGCATACCAGCGCATCTCATTGCTTTATCCCATCCTGAACAAAAATTCAACTATACAAAAAAAATGCTCTCTCCTAATTTTCAAACAAATTATAAGCCCAATTCTTACCTACGCTTGCCCGATATGGGGTAATTGTGCATCCTCGCACATCAAAAAAATGCAAATTGTCTAAAACAAAGTCCTCAGAATAATTGAAAATGCTCCATGGTTTGTCAGAAATGCAAATCTCCACAAAGACTTTCAAATCCAAGAAATCCAAGATCATATGAAAACATTAGCAAAAAATGTCCACTGCTCTCTTCCAAACTCATCAGGTGCCGTGTACTATAACCTTCTCACTCACCCAACTCGTCGTCGATTAAAATGAGGTAGTCCCAACGACCTCCTACACTAAGCCACTTCTCAACATCCAAATCTTCACTCTACACATGCGCTTCTTCCAGATAACTCTACGACCTCTCTGTTACTTATAGTTATTAAATTATTGTAAATATGTAAATATTAGAATATTATTGTAATCACTTGTTACTTCTGTATATTATCTTAAAATTACAAATTGTTAATTATTCTCAGTACTTAAAAATATTTTTAATTATCATGTTCATACCTGTTAAAACTAATATATTATTTATAAACGTTTTAACAGTTATTGTTATACAATACATACAACATATTATATATAATATATTTAATTAAATAGAAGTTAATAAATAATAATACATTTACAATAAAAAGTTTATATTATTTAGAAATATTTGTACAGTTGTTATTATAAAATAATAATAAATAATAATAATAATAATTATTATTTTTTTAAGAAAAAAAATTCTTATTATAAATAATACAATATTGTAGAACAATGTTGAGTTCTTTTTTTAATTTGTACCTACATATTATCTCAATCAAGTAAGAAACTTACTTATGGCCATTTACTTGTTTTAATTCAATAACATTCTGTTATAATTGGCCGTATATGTATTACATTATACATATTATAATCTAGGTTCTTTCACTAATGCTACTATATAGTCAATGGCATGAAAAAGGACTTTATTTGAGGTATGTAGCACGTGCCTCAGTTTAAAGTGAAGTAGGTGTTATGGAGACTAAAGGCATTTCACATAATATTATAATAATTTATTAAAGGTGTACTAAGACTAAGCCAATCTTTCTCAGTTACCATTTACGTAAATACGTAATTACTTAAATAAGTATTTATAATAAAATTCATTACCTATATAAATTATTGTGCCTCATAAGTTAATGAAGTTTCCATGCCACTGCAGCTAGTTGGAGAATAAAAAAAAATCAACACCTATTAATATAAGTTAACACTTAACAATTTGTTGGCTAATTGTTCAAAACAAATAAAAGTATTATTATAATATTACGTAATGGTTTGCATCTAGCAGAGTTTTCATGTACAATACAATAAACTCCTAAATGTGTCAAACAATTTTACCATCATCGTAAAAAAAATAATATCCCATATGTCATGTAGAAAATTTTAAAATACATAATATGTAAGTGTAATGTCTATTTTTAGAAGAATCATTGATTTTCTATGTTATTTACTTAAGTCTGGCAATATGTAAATCTTAAAGGGATTTCAATTATACTTTATATTAATTGTCTAATGCAAGATCTGCCATAATAATATTGTATGCATCACTTAAAATACTTATTATACAATACAGATTTTTTTTATAACACAATCAATAGGCAACCAAAAAATTAGCCATGGGCCGCATGTTTGACATGCCCTTGGCCCTTCTTACACTAAAATATATAAAGGGTCTTCAATCTAAAATCAAAGTGAAAGATCACAATGAGCGTAACTCATAATTTAATTTTTCTCCAATTTTATATGCTAATTCTCTTTAATCAATCTATGTTTAGTAGCATCTCTACATCTGAACATTATATCATATCAAAACCTAATTAATCCAAAACAAAAATTAGATTGATTAATACTAAAAAACAAATTTTATCAACTATAAAAAAACGAATAATAACTATTGTATTATTAATTTTATAATATGAACATTTTTTAATTTAATAATAAATAAAGGACAATTATTATGGATTTTAGTTTTTTTTCTGAAATTCTCATTAGGGTTGAAAACCCCAATCTTAAAACGTACATGACAAGTGTGACATTAATATTCCTACAATTTCAAATCATTAACTTGAGTCTTAAATGGATTATTTTTTAATAAGAAGTTGTAATTAAGTGAACATACATATATGCTATGAGAATATGAGACAATCAGAGAAATACAACGCAACAGAAAGAACTGACCAAAAAAAAAAAAAATTGATGCTACTTAAATGTATGACAAAAATTGTTGAAATTATATGATTAGTAAATAGTTTTAAGAATATACCCATATTATAAAATTTCCAAAAATAATATTTTTAAAAAAGCTATTGCGTTCCAAATTTATTTTATCAAAAAAATATTGATATTTAAAAAAAATTCTAAAAAATAAACTACTAGACTTAGATAAATGTTTTTACCATCCAAATCGTTCTTAAAATCAGATTCACAAGTTTGCTATTTTGAATTTATTCAAAAAAATTTAAGTCAAATTTAAAATTTTTTATTTTTAGTATAAAAAAATAAAAAAAAAATTTTTTTCCTCTTACACGTGTAGAACAAGTGGCTATAAATTATATATAAAAAAAAAAATTAAAAATAATGATCATAACAAAAGTTATTCCAAAAGTCAGTTCTATCTGTTACACCCTGTATACATATATTCAAGCCACAAAAAATATTATAGGATACCCTTATTTTTCTGTTAAGACTATTGTAATAGGTAGGTATTTATTGAATTTCTATATTATTAGAGATTTATAAAATCCTTAATACTCAATACATAAAATTAGTAATTTACTAAGTCACTAAATCTAAAACATTAATATTAGGTAGGTCACACCTGACCAGATCTAGGCCAGATCTGGCTAATCACAACCAACAATTTTTTTTTATGAGCTATAATTTACCATTTACATTTTTTGTTTTTTTTTTTTTATAAAAACAAACATAATGTAAAATGTTCTATGGGTACAATTGACATGGTAAGACATGCAATTCAGTTAAGTTGATTTATATTTTTTTTTTTAATGTTTTATAAAAAGCTTGAAAGTACATATTTGAGACTTGAGAGTATCTACAAATACTTTTTGAAATAAATATTTAAATCTGTATTTAAATAGGTACTTTAAAAAGTATCTTTTACACAACTACTATTGTGTTATTTAGAACCTACTAGAAACTTTAAAACAAATTCGGTTATTCACTTATCAATATTTTACTTTAAAATAGGTAAATTGTATGTATTGTTTTTTGTATTCAACAACTATAATTAATATGCTTTTAAAATAATTTTCAGATCAATGCATGGAAAAAGTTATTCTTATGATCCAAAGTAAATTTACAAAAAGTTGAAATCCGGTTTCAATACCAAAATAAATTGTTGATTTCAATACTTAAGGCTCAAGCCTTAAGTATTGAAATATTTAATATTGAATATTTAGTACCTACATGATTATTTTTAAGTTGATTTTGCTGTAAGGCTCATCGGTCATTATATTAAATTATAATTAATGTAGGAATTGTCTGCACACAAATATTTTTATTATAAGTATGAAGAGGTTTAGAGAAAATTAATTTATAAATTGAAAAAATAAAGTCACATACAAAATACATACCAAATAGAAATAATTATAATAATGAACCCTATTTTAAAAAAATTTTGCATCAAAGTCACCAAGTTTTTACCTAACTTGGGTAAATATAAATTCACTCGCCTAAATGGTATAAATGAGTAATGACAGTTGCATAAACAACCAATACCCATAAATCCATCCCCCAGTTGTTATTTTTAATAAATATAATTACTAAATTACCTACCTAGTTAATACTCGTAGACTTATCTAATTATGATATTTATTTAATAGACAATAAAAGAAAAAAAGTTATTGTTATTATAAAATAAGTACTTAATTCTAATAAGGGTTCTTATATAAAGAAAATCTGATCAGTAACCACTTTTATTGTAGTCTTAAAAGTTTTAGTAGGCATTGACGAAAGTACAAACTCAAATATTAAAATGTGAATTAAATAATAATTAATAAGCAAAATATACTGAAATAATACCTATGGGTTAGGTTAGGTACCTACCTTCAATAATGCATCTCAAAGGCGGTGTGTTTAGTTTGACGCGCACTATGGGCAATTCGTTCATGTCTAAGGTACTTGGAAAAGTGCAACTTTCGGTGGCCATTTCGGAGAAATTGGTATTTGTTTTTTTAAATCAAATAAAAAGAAACTATAAAAATAACGATTATATGGTACATCCACCGTGGATATTAATTCCTGCAATTGATTAAATACAATAATAATTTAGAAAATTAGGTCAATTATATAAGGATGATTCAGGATTGTATATATGTACAAATGTACAATATATACCTATATGGGCTATATGGCTATACTCCATATCACAGAATTATCTGTTAGAACGCGCGTACAAAAAACACGATGAGTAAAGTACCCACGTAATACATAGTAAATAACCATTGTCATTATAGATATTAGATAAATATATTTTAGATTATGAGCGGAGCCATAGATAAGTGTACTAAAGCGGTGCGATGAATGTATGAATGTTTTGAATTCACGATGATGCGTTTTTTGAGTGTATAGCAGTGTATTCGATTAATAGTAAATTTAAAAAATGATTTTCAAGGTACAATATTATTTTTAAGCTATTCTCTATTTAAACTACGTTTTACGAACCTATTCATGCCATTATACGGTAGCCCATGGAATATAAATATATAATATAAATCAGTGATTTTTAATCGTGGATCTGAGCACAGAACAATAAGGTAGCCGGTAGCACCTGTAGGTAAATATGATAACGTGAGATGATAATAACCCATAGAGTAAATATTACTCTATGACCTATGTAAAAACATTTCATTTATTGCACAAAATGGATTAGGAATAATATTTTTTTTAATGGTCAAATAAAATAGTAAATGTAAAATGACTTATATAAAATATATTTTTTTTTTTTTAAACAACATGATAAGAAATAATAAAATACGATACAAAATAAATCATAATATCATCTTATTTGACATAATATGAAATACCATACAATTGCCAACCGACCTTGAAGCTTCAATTCATGGCGGGAGTTCGCTATCTAGTACCACAGATTATATGATAATCTGTGCTAGTCCTATATAGAAATCTGTGATGTAATCATACAGCGTTTTCCTTCTGACAGCACTATAGCACTACGCCACTACACCTTTCTTTTTTTAAAGTGCACACTGCACACTACACGCCAACATTGCTATAACACTGATTCATAATCAGTAATCACAGTACCTATCGGCTATCACATAATTTTCGACACCTCCAAAATTCACGGTGTCGACCAGTGTGCACTATATAGTGCAGTACTGCAGTCTATAGTATAAGCCATAAGGAATTCCTTATAGGTACTATGGTGCAATCAATGGAAAACGCTATAAGACTTATGAGTAGGACTTAGGTATGTTATACCTATTATGTTATTGTTCTATGGTTATACCGACATATTTTGTTATTTCCGTAGTCCGTAGTTAAAAAATTAGTGAAAATTGACTTCTTATAAAATTTAAAGGTAAGATGATTATGATTATTTATATTATGCAATGACATACGCTTTTTTATTATACATATATTAATTTTAAAGCGAGTTATGAGTATAGGTATTTAAAGATGTACAAATAATTCACAATTTTAAAATACTCATAATTCGTTTTAAAATTAAAATATCATAAAAAGCGTATGCCATTCATAGGCGCACATAGGGGGATGGCTTTCGTTAGCTTCAAACTAGCACCCTCAATTTATTTCAGTATTTCACCAATCATTTATAAACTAGGTATCGTGGTTTATTGGTTCGGAATTTTTCTTTCCATTACGAATTCACGATTAAAACAGTATTGTGTGAATGCACGTTTAAGTGTTTCAGTTTTTGTTAAGACATTAAACAGTATGCAGCAATCATATTATATCATATTATTATAGAAAATTTTATTATCTTACAGTTCACGGTTGGCTACGAAATGTTCTATTTATAACTTTGGTTATTACTTGGTTTTTACTATTATACCTATTTATTTATTCTTCGGGCTACGCTGAATTGAATGAATTCGGAATGACAAATATTATTAAGAGCCGTGTGGCAGTCTATATATTATATTACTAACTACTCAGGATATGTTATGGTATTATAACTATAAAAGTAATTTATTTTACTATGAACAACAGTGCACGACTGTAGGTTGAACTAAATTTTTCCAAAAACATAGCTTTGAATTGTAAATATGATGTTTACCTATATTACATAATATTATACTTTCAAGTATTCACGAATAATATTTATTTTTAGTTATTTAACTATTTCTGTACCAAGGTCTAGGCCATCAGCTGAATTAATTCGGGGCCCTTCAGAACCTTCACATAATAACTGTGATATTAAAATATTTATTTATTTATTTTAAATTTAACGGACAAAATTGCCTTTAACAAAAATTAATATAATAAGTATAACAGACTATAGAGCAATTACACAAAAACAAAACAAAATATTAAATAGATTAGATTTCCAAAAAATTAATAATAATTACAATAACAATAAAAGTAATAAGTAAAATAACAGTAAGGAAAAAAATTGTAATACACTATAAAAATCAAATTCTAAGTAGGTAACAAAGAGTTCACCTATTTAAATTATTAAGTAAAGTTAATGCATTATTAATCTTGAAGGAATAACGAGACATATTAAAAAAATCAAGTGAGGTGGTAATAATATTGGCTAGTAATAGAGCTCTAGGGAGGAATGCATTTGTACCAATGTTTGCTTTGTAGAATGTGATTTTAAAATATAGTTTAAAAATTTGTGTACAACGCCAATGGGTATAACTTGTAAACTACTAGGAGTAGTTAGCTACAAAGTGTATAAAGTATAAAGCTATAAAGTGTAATAAAATAAGTATCTTTACCTAACAATTAAACAAAGAAAGAGTGTCTAATGAATACAATTAGGTAAGGAATCATTTATAATTTCAAAATCATAATTACCTATACTCATATAATCAAATATAAGGTTTGTACGTTTAATTATGTATCTATATTTATATATATATAGTATATATTATATGGATTAACTACTTTGTTGATTATAATTTATGTTTTTTATTTATAATTTACTATTGCACCAAATTGTTATTACATTTTTTAGTGAGCTGAATCGTTTCTCTTCCCACTATTATTTTTTTGTTTAGGAGTAGGTACTGCTACAACCGTTTGGTATTTTGGTTGGAAAACAGTTTATTATTTTAACAATTTTATTGTAGAAATCAGATAATTTATATAGAAATATAATATGGAAATTAAATACATTTTTGTTAATGTAATTTGTATATAATGTTATATTTTACATAGCATATGTTTTTCTTACTCCCCTTTTGGGAATTGGTTTAAGCTTATCGACTGTCATTAGCACAAGACAGGATCAAGTGAACAGTATTAATTATCATAGTTGCACTTACAGCTGCTCATCTTCATATCCTTGGTATAATGGTATACCTACTTGCTGTGCTGTTTCATATTGTCCAAGATCCAAAGCAGTCGGATTGCCCACGTAGGTCACCAAGGTAAATTTTAGTACATTTTTACTCGAGGTGACTTACTTGTAGTAGGTAGTATTATCTCGTCTTCCAACGTGAGTACCTAGATATCTGGCTATGAATGGAGCACGAATTAAGATAGTCTGGAGGGGTTCCCCTATATCCCTATATTCAATAAAATGTTATCAGAACAAAAACTAATCAATACAATTTTAATATTTTGATGCCTAAAATTAAAAAAGTGAAATTATTGGCCAGATGTCATGGAAAATCTGGAAAACGGGTCAGACTATCCTTATGCTTCCCCCCCGAAACCGGAGTCTGCGCATACCCATAGGTACCCATAAATGGTTTTATTTTTGCGATGTTATAAAAATGTTATACTTAAATCCAAATTTTCACCTATTTTTTTTTTATATTAGGTGTATGAACTAATAAAAAAGAGTTGATGAATTTCACAAAAAGAACTGAACAAAAAATTGTTTCAGATAATGATTATTTTGCAATAAATGAATAAAAATATTATTATATAAAATTCTCATATAACCAAAAGTGTTTGTATAAAAAATACTAACTTTTTTATTTTTTGTACTAAAACTTAACATAACATGATTTACAATTACAGAAAATAAAACCGTTAAACACACAAAAACTTACACAACCACCTTGCAAAAACTATGATACCCAACTATAACCTGGATTTTGAGTCTTGAAATATAGTCTTATTTTCAAATAGTTTGTTGATTTCTATTTGTGTATATCCAATACTTTCAAGTATTTCCCTTGTATTCTGTCCACAAACCACAGTTGGTTTATTTGAACTTGAAACACCAGGAGTAACACTTAATTTTGGTGCTGGAACAGGCAGCACAATATTATCTTTCCTGATGTATGAATTTCTACTTGCATTATGAGGATGCTGGTCAACTTCATCCAGCTCTAACACAGGAGTTACACAAGCATCTTTTGAATCAAAAATCTAAAATCAATAAGATTTATATTTAAAACTTACAATAAAATGTGTAAAAATATTTTTTTTACTTACATTGCACCATTCTTCTCGTGTTTTTCCTTTAAATTTGTTTGCAATAATTACTCTATTACCCTCAAAATTATTCATCTGTTCAATATCATTAATGTTCAATCCTAGTCCTTTGATGAACTCTTGATAAAATGCTGGTTCTATAGCACCGACAGCCATCCATTTACCATCTTTGGTTTCGTATGTATCATAGAAGTGCATTCCTCCATCCAGTCTAATTAAAAGTGATGAATCCAATACTGATTATAATCATATTATACCTTATCATCTATTTAATTTCAAAAAGTTTACAAACATATTCTGTCCTTTTGGTTTCCCCCAAATCATTGACTCTTGTGAACACATCAACCAACTTCCGACATAAGAAATTCCTTCAGTTATGCTGGCATCGACCACCTGACCTTTTCCACTTTTGTATCTTTCTATGACTGCCATCAAAATTCCCATTACGCATACCATACTACCGCCCGCAAATTCAGAAAAATTTACGGGAGGAACAGGTTTTGAATTCTTTGAACCATACAATGACAACAAACCTTAAAATTTAAAAAAAAAAATTGAAGAAGTTAATGTAGTATATTTGTCATTTTTAAAAAGTAAAACATACCAACCTGACATGGCTAAATAATTTATATCATGTCCAGCTCTCTTTGCATATTGTCCATGTGAACCATAGCCATTTAATCGAGCATATATTAAACGAGGATTTTTGGCCATCATTACATCGGGGCCTAATCCCAGTTTTTCCATTACACCTTATACATTTAATAATTAATTGTAATTTATTGATATGAATTATTTAATGGCATTATTATATCCTTTAAGATGTGTGGCTATGATTAATTAGCTATTCTTACCGGGTCTATAAGGTTCAAGTACAATGTCGGCATTAATGATTAATTTTTGTGTAATCTCAATACCTTCAGGATGTTTTAAATTGATACTTATGGACTTTTTGCCACCATTTAAAAAGCCTGTAAGTTCCATAATGACACTTCTCTACAAAACAAACGATTATTTTGGAATGGTAAAATTACAATACAATAATATTTTTCTAGGTAATGTACTCACTTTTTGTATTACAGTCACATTTGCTCCAAAATCAGATAGTATAGTTCCAACAAAAGGTACCGGCGCCAGACCAGAAAATTCTAATATGTTTAATCCTTTTAACGGCATGTTGGTCAAAATATGATTATCCTTAATCTTTCTAGGGATATAAAAAAAATAGTAGGATTTCACTTATACTTGAAAATATTGTATGTGATTTCTCTGCTTTTCCGGCAGTCTGCCTATATATAAGCAATATATTAATATATATACCTAATCATTTTTTTATACACCCAGATCAAGGAAGAATAACAAAATATTTTTTTTATAATTTAGTTTGTAGTAGAAATGTAGAATCGTAATGTTCTAATTTCTACGAATTAAAATATAAGAATAATATATCACATTATAATTTATTCATCCGTAACAATAATACTATAATTAATTAATTCATCTATCGTAGGTTCGTCTGATAGCAATAATTAATAGTTGTGTATGTGTTAAATGTACACAGGTACAGTGATTGAACTATTTAGACGATCGAAAGAATGAAAGTTAATAATATTGTAATAAACCTTTGATCACATTATGCTGAGGATGTAGTTGTACGTATTACATATTATAACGTACCTTTTATTTATTTATGTATATTATGATGTATTATTATTTATTATGAACTAACTCCAAAGTAAGTATATATTATATTATAGTAGCTATTTAAATTATAAGTACTCTATATTTAATATAGTAATTAGGTATATAGAATTATTGGCGAAACTATTCTGTGACGGACAGTGTGATATTAAATTGACCATGGCTAAATAAGCTAAGTTATTTAGCCATGAGATTGACATTCCAACAGATAGATACATAATACGGTATTGTTTATCTATTTCGATGGATATAATACATATTCTGTGCATTCCAATAATATACTATCTAAAAAATATATTGGCTAAAAACAAGTAATGATATAGGTAGTGATAACAAATGTGAACGCTTCTGATTTGTCAAGCAAGTATTATCTATTATCATTTATCACTTACCAGGTCTATGACCTGTTTTCAAACTTGAATCTCAGAATAAATTTCTATTAAGGGGCCTCAACAATGACATTTATTAAGGAACTTTATATAGGCAATTTCTAAGCTACTGTTGTGGATGTGTTAGTAATTGTATACTCGTAAATGGACATTAGTGTTAGTAAGTCGGTTAGCTTGTACCGCGTCGGGTGACAACGACGCGATGGTTGAGAATGGTGTGCGGGGTCACTTTACGCACTCGCAGGCACATGTCAAACAGCTTGTTCGAAATAAATGCAATTATGCAAAGAAAAATTTCGCCCTAAAGACACGATTCTACTTTTAGAAACTTTTCTAACAGTACGCTCTTATAAATACTCCGATTTAAGTTTTGAAAAAACTTATAAATTCTTAATAACATTTCCAAGGCATCGCTCGCTCGTGATACAATTTAAAAAATATTTATAATTATTTAATTATTTTGACTTGAAAAGTTACAATTTTTTAAGTTTTGTAATCGTTTAAAAAATAATATTGACAATAAAAATTTAAAATTTATTCCGACCAATGCATCAAGCAAGTATTGAAAAATCTAAATCCGTTTTCAAAACTTATGTCGGATGACGCATTCTAGTGTATGGTTAAATTTAGAATGTGTTATTTTCAATTAAAAACGGGCTGGTGTAGAGGCCCCTTAATAATATAACATAATATAATAATATATAATAATTAATAATAATGACTAAATATCATTCTGTTATACATTCAAAATCTTAAGTTTGTATAAAATAAATAATAATTAATAAGATAATATAATATAATAATATATAATAATTAAAAATAATGACGAAATATCATTCTGTTATACAGTCAAAAACTTAAGTTTGTATAAAATAAATGTTTTTTTTTTAAATAGACTGGCACAACAGTAATAATTAATAATATTAAAATAATAATGGCAAAATATCATTCTGTTACACAGTCAAAAACTTAAGTTTGTATAAATAAATGTTTTTTTTTTAAATAGACTGGCACCAGCAGTAATAATTAATAATATATACATAAATATGAACATTACGGAATAATATAATAATCGATAGTAAATACACGTACAACTATCGATATATTAGTTAATAATCCAGGTAAGTGATGGGAGACAATTCGAGTAGACCGTTTGGGTACACTCGAATTGCTTCCGAAAACACCCGGAGGCAATTCGAGTAAAAAAAGGTCACCTACCTAAATTTGGGAGGCAATTTGAGTGTCACCAAAATTTTATGTGAAGGTGTCTAATGTCATAGGTTAAATGTTGGACTTTGGCGCCACTGATTGTAAGCTAATAACATTGTAGTTGATGCTGAAACAAAAAATAAATGTTATAATATTATAACTTAAATTTCAAGGGGGATAAATAAAAATTCAACTAATAAATTACTTGATTAATTGTTGTAATATTTGCTGCATAAAACGTCATCATTGTCCATTAGAAAATATGCTTTAAATGGTTTCATCTTAAATAATGTTGACAACAACTTTTTATCTGCACAAAATGTTACGTTGCTTATATCAGTCCATCGATAATCTAAACAAAACATATACATTTTAATATTTCACAAAGTAAAAACTATAGCTATAAAATATAAAGTCTAGAAGTAGAGACAGTATAAACTTAATCAGTTTTGTGTCCGAAAATCTTCTTGTATATGTTTACCACAAAGGCATGAACCATATAAAATTGTTGTTAATTTTCTCCAACCCTTTTGAATATAAAAAAATATTCATGTAATTTTGATTTTTTTCCCCTTTAATAATATAAAACAACAGCTAAAATCCTAAAATGTATGTAAAAACCTACCATATTCCTTCTTATAATCTTATACTGTTACTAAGTAATAAACCACCCGAGTAATTAATTTAAAAATCTACCATTTGTTTGTGTGAATTTTTTTGAAACGTCCATAACAAACATATGAATTTCTTGAATTATAGATGGCATAGAATAGATATCAGTGAGTTCAACATTAACAACAGCCATCTTTGGTACCACCTCAGTAGTTATTTCATAATTACTTTTTAAATATCTAAAACAATACAAATTTAAAGTATCATCAATGTTCACCTATTATTCAAACTCACCTTAAGGCTGCATTTTGCAAAGACTCTCCTTTTGTAACTTTTTGATGCTGTTTAAAGATTTTAAATTCTTCAAGATAATTAGAAATAAGTATTTTGTTATCTTTCTTAACAATAACATTAACCCAAATTTCCTTGGTCTTTTTGAGAAGGCTTAATAATTTGATGGTACTATCCACGATGGTATCATCATCTAAATACATGAAATGTGCTTTAAATGGAATTTGTTTTAATACCATAGGAAACCAAAGTTTATGATCAACCCACATGTTTTCCAATGGAAATTGATTAATTTTGAACCACTTTATTGGCGCCATTTCTAAAATAACATAATTAATTTGCTAATTTGTTTAGTAATAGAGGTAAAGGTTCAAAAATATTTACAATAAATATAAAATTATTTTATTTTTACCATCTGATTCAACTATGTGACCTTTAAATTTATCACATAGATATATATGGCCTTCCAAAATTTCATTTGATCCAGCATACTCAAAATCTATAAAACCAATTTTTTTCATAGATATGGCATCCAATCCACATTCTTCTTTCACCTCTCTGAAAATAAATATTAGTATTTTTTATTATTGCTGTTATAGTGTTGTACAATTATATTATTAAGATATTTCAAAATATTTTTATAGTTATAACAGTTTAAAAAATTGTTTACCGTTTAGCAGCATCAAAAATTGTTTCATTGGGTTCCTTTTTGCCGCCAAATCCATTCCATTTACCTTTTCCCATACCACGATTTTTCATACCCAATAAGACCTCATCATTTCTGATTATAAATGTTAATGTCATCAATTTACGACGATAAAATTCAAAATATGTAGGATAAGATAACATATTTTATTTTTCCAGTATTAATTTTCTAGGCAAAAAACATAATTAACAAAGTGTATAATAACATTAATACACCAAAAAAATATAAATATAGTCAACTAAAATAATTATTTGAATAATCAAAACTTAGAAATAGCTGATAAATTTAAATACACTACTTGACTATAAGAGTAAGTATTATTAGAAAGCATAAAAATAACTTAGTTATTAGTTTTTATAATATGAATATTAACAACTACAATCATCAAAAAGGTCTTATAATTAATAATAAGTATAGCATTAGGTATATGGTTTTTAGATTGTAAATAAAAAATAATATTAGTCAATAATATAATACCATGGAACCTATGTTAATACTTTTCAAAAATGTTAATACACACATTATAAAAAATTCAATAGTGTTTATCACTATAATTCAGAGGCAGACTGTCTTGTAAGGTAGTTCATTAATAAGCTTCAAGGAGTCAAAATTAAGGGATAGCATGTCTCAACAATTTATCATCTTCAACCGTAATTTTTGAGCTTGATGATAATTTCTAATTTTATAAAATACTATAAATCGATATTCCTTGAAAATATATTATTGGTGTAATTACAGTTGAAGTCATGTTATTTTTAAGGTAAAAATACTTATTACTCCCCTGAATTTTCTTAAATGTTTGGACTAGTGTAATTGGAGGTTAATAGGATTTTACAGTCTCAGTCATAACTACCTCTTATAGCTAGTAGTATGTTATACAGGATGTATCTTATGTCATTATACACAAAAAAATTGCCTGTTAAAAATAAAGAAACACATCTTTTTTCGTTTTAACGTAATTCTATGTATTCGATCCATAATCGTTAAAAACCCCAGAGTACTCTGTATATACTTAATGGAAAACATTTCTTAATATCAATAACCAAATAATAATAATTATTGGTCAAAGATATGGACATATCTTACAAATTATATCTAAAACCTAACAAGGAAAATTTATTGTGAGACACGTTATCATGTATAAAACCAACAAATTTTTACTCCTGCCAGCGAAAAAACGCTACTAGGCGGCTACAAAAACTGTGGGAATTATAAGATATAGAGTTTGTGAAAATCACTGGAATGTCTGTCTTGTATTCAGTTAAATTATGAAAAGTCAACAGACAACAAGCATACCTCGATGATTATGGCCAAAAAAAAACAGCAAATTAAAGGAACGAATATTTGCATGACTTATAAACGTTTAATAAATTGTAACACGAATATTTATAAATATATAGAACAGAAATAGCCACACTGTCAAATTTACCATAAAAATGAAATGTATAACAACGCCGGTACTCGGTAGCCGACACGAGTGATTTGTGCTTACTGCTTGTGCAATGTGCAGTTGCGCTTGAGACTTGGTAGTAGGAACTGGGAACTACGATGTTTGTAACGTTGAAATTATGAAAAATTATAAAATAGCAACGGTTGCATTAAGACTTAAGAGCCACCGCTCACAACGCTACAGGCTACAGCAGTACAACAGGTCGAAGACTGAGTCTGACGGACCACGGTTATATCACAGACTATATGAAAATAGTCTGTGGTTTTATCTTAAATCGTGAAACCAACCGGTCGACCCATATATAAATATAATATATTATCTATGGGTCGACCGTAGTTAGCTGATAACGCGGAATCAAAGAGTGATAAGAGATCGCTTTCGCGAGAATGATGGTAGGCGGAGAGAAGGCGCGCGGTAATTTTGCGTTGCCCGGACGTGCCGGACTGTCCGGGAAACGGATTGAAGTGATTGAACGTGCGCCCACCACCACCGTCGCACGGTACTGCATAACCATGGATGGCAAGACGTGTACCGGGCGGTATCGTATATTCGTATACCGTTGTGGTAGCAGACAGTAGACGTAAATACTAAACAGTATTGTAGTAGTATTAGTGGTCGATGCTCGGTAAGTGGCAACTCGGCGATTCCTCTGTGGCGCACTCTCTTCCCGCCGCCTTTCATTCATAATAATAACAAAATATCGCACACGGAAAAAGAGGAGGACGACGTCCGCGGACCTCGCGAGTAGGTGTGTAAGTGTGTTTGTGTGCACCAGTACACAGCGATCGCGCAAAACGCTCACGCCTCACACACAAAGGCACTCACGAATACGCGACTTATATATATGTGTAAAATAGCCGTACTTACGACACAATAATAATACTATAATAGACTCGGCGGTCACACAATAGTACAATTCGCGATTTTCAATCTGTCACTGTTCGGCGGACGTCGATCCGTATTATTCGCTAGTGTGCATCGGCGCATCGTCCGCGGTTCGCGCAACAATCGCCAATCTTCGGTGCGATTTTTCGTCGGCGAGCGATAATTTTTTTGTTCGAGACGTTCTCCTGTTGTAATTCCACACGCACAACGGCGTGTGCGCACACCATATTATTATTATGCCCGTCGTTGTCTGACCGGAAAGCACGATCCAATCTCGAGAACGCGTCCGGGTATCAACAGTTGTCATCGAGGTGAGTAACTAGCGGTGATTTGTGTGTCATCCTCCTACGCAGAAATTATAGTATCAATGTTCGCCCCGGATTTTTCTATACTGAAGCCTAGTGCGATCCTATCATTCTGATAGACGTGACAAATCGCGTATTTGTGTCTATTAAATTTGTACTTATTTAAGCACCAGTAGTCATGTACTCATGCTGGTCGGACAAGGTGTGAATGTTTGTCCTTTACTGCCGACAATAATCTAAACCTCTGTGTTTTGCACAACCGACAGCAGACCTGGACACGGGATATCTTATTTCATCACATCAACCTTGTTTGAAATTTAAATTGCCCAACATTTAATGCATACCTACGCTTGAGACAAATGTATAACAAATCAGATTTATAAGTTATACCTAACATAAGTACCTATTAATTAAACCTAATTAATAAAAATTGAAATGCTTTTATAGTAGGTATGCTAGTTTCTCAAATAATAAAAATGTTGATTACCTTCAGAAATCATATTAAAACTTCTAATTTTTTTTATGTAGAATATATAATCTATTCAATTGTATTCATATTATTCCCTGGTTTTAGTGTTGAGTTTAACCTAATCAGTGTTCACTAAAATTGTCACTTATCTAATGTAATACTTTCAATAAACAATTTTTATTTAACCTCGTATTGCACTTACTTGTAGGTAATCAAAACCACTACTGCTTTTGATTATAATACTAATACATGTTAGTCTAATCCTATTTAATCTGAAAAAAGTAAAGCATTACATTGATACAGCATTACAGCAGATATATTAAAAATTATAGTCATAATAGTCTACCTGATATATTAATCATTATTAATAATTCTCTGTACAATTATATATTTGTCAGAAATAATGAGTAAAGCATAAGTGTCGATTGTTAATGATTGGTTGTTTTTATATTTTAATAACCATACCTTATTTATGCCATAAGTAGGCACTTTAAAGATAAACTCGTATTCTCGGTCAAAATTCCTTTAAGAATTTAAGTGTCCTTGATGAATTTTGTATTCTGTTTGCTTATCTTGTACATTACAATAATGTTTTCAGTACAATGGTATTTTTCTACATGTCTAGTATATATTGTTGATGTGATTATAAATCTAAAGAACTATGCTATTACGCTATATAGATACCTTCATTTTAAGACTGATGTTAATAAAGTTAATTTTCCATTTCAATAGTGTTCATCCCAACCATAATATATTCAGTGTTAGGTATTTCACAATTGTTATTTATTTGTACTTAAGTACAATACCCTAATTGTAAAGAATAATAATACCTAACTAGATACCACCATCAACGATCAAGACTATAATTTTAAGTAAAAAATGAAAGCTTTAAATAGGTATATAAAACTTTTCTAAACTTTATAGCAAACATGCTATCTTAGTTAAAATAATGTAAAAAATTCAGGAGAGAGGATTAACTGCCAATTCCTCCCTTAGTTATGGCCTTGACCACCATATGATTATAATTATTAATTACCTCAGTGTAAAATGTATCCTTGTATTCTCCTCAATATTTTAGATTATTACATTTTAATCAAATTAGGTAGGTACCTAACTTATTGGATTGTATTATGAATGAAATAGGTATATCATATTAGGTGTACCTACTTATTCATATTAAATAGTTCACTTCAGTGTTTTAGTTGTTCAATAATAGTTAATTGTATAATTATTTCTTTGTTTTTATAATATTTTAAAAAAAATGGTAGGTATCATTACTTTCACTTGTAAAATAAGTGATTGTGGTCATGTTAATAAATTTAAGGATGTGCCATAACATAAAACTCCTATTTTGTATTCCTACTAGCCTATACAATTTCTCTATGAAATCAATTAGGTATAGTAACTTGAAATAGAAATTAGATTTAAGTATAGCCCGGGGTATAACCTTTTAATGATTTAAGACAATTAAGTTAATCAGTGTTAACAATTTGAAAAAGCAAACTTCGTATTTTTCAAAAACACTGTTTCTAGTAGAGAACAATGACCATTAAATGCTTAAACTTAGATAATACCTATATTAGTAACATCTAAAAAATAGTTCATGGAAATACCTAAACCAATTTTATTTACCTGTGCAAAAGAACCTTATATTTGAGTATGTGTTATAACTTATAAGGTTAATTAATGTTCTTGCTTTCTAAATTGAGTTAGGTTATTAAAACATTGTATCTTAAAGACAAAAATATTAAAAACAAAATTCATTTTTTAAATACGTAATTTTGTTGGTAGGTACCTACTTATAAGCGATTAGGTTCTAATAAATCCAAAAAAAATGAACATTATAAGTACCTACTGCATTAGTTATAATACTAATGGTATGCATATAAATTTACATTTCTTTAACTAATTTAAGGTTTCAGTAATCAATAAATTTTCATACCGCAGGTTAGGTTACAATTGTATTTAATATAAAACAAAAAGCTCTATAGCAAAAATAAATACTAACCAATTTTTAAAATCATTGACATATAAATTAATTAATTGAATAGTTGAATGATAACATTTAAATAAGATCAATAATTTACATATATAAGTATATTAAATACTTCAACGTTTTTATATTATTAATAATTGGCATACATTTCTAAGAAATTAATGAATAAAAACATTGTTTGGCATATAACAATTAATTAACTATGATTTAACTGAGTTTAACACCATTTCAAGATTTTAATGTTGGCACGTATAATTGGCATGTACCTTACCTATCTAAATTATTTGATATTTACTGTTATAAGTCTGTTACTGTTGCTGTAGTTTATAATTACTTTGCTTAACAAATTTTTAATTGGTTTTTTTTTTTAAGTTTAATTAAAGTGTAATTCATATAAATCATAAACATTTAATATTCCTAATTGTTTAGTTAAAAATTAATTTTAAAATAAACAAAAACAATCAATGTCTCATGTCTGTCAATTTATCTTCATTGTATAAATATTTTAAATAAAACTCAATTTGCAATTAAAATTTACATAGTATATTCTATACCTAATATATATTTTGAATTTTAGATGAAGAAGCGTGAAGAAATGCAAGTTAATGTTGCTGGACTAAGGAGAAATATTAAAAACATAGCACATAATTACTCTGATGCTCAGGTTAGTAAAGTTTTTAATTTTATTTTTTCATTATAAATTTATATTCCTACTGTTAAATGAACTTAGTTTATTATATATACATCTATATTTAACATACTTACTAATAAATTATCATTAATATTTTGACCTAGAATATTGTATGTTAAATCCTATTAGTCACGCTTCAAAAATAAAAACCGAAATAATTATATTTTGTTTAAGAAGAAAATAAGTTAGGCATAAGACTATAAAAAATTATTTACACAGATTGTATTTTAGGTAAAAGTGCGAGAGGCAACTAGCAATGATCAGTGGGGTCCAAGCAGTACGCTAATGGCTGAAATTGCCGACTTAACTTACAATGTAGTTGCCTTTTCTGAAATTATGGCCATTCTTTGGAAACGACTTAATGATCATGGACGTAACTGGCGACATGTTCATAAAGCACTTATTCTTCTAGAATATTTAATAAAGACTGGCAGTGAAAAAGTATAAATAATCCATATTTTTAGTTATAATCTTATTAATGATTTATGTTTTTTTAAGGTTGCCCAGCAATGCAAGGAAAATCGTTTTGCTATTAAAACATTAGAAACATTTCAACATATAGAAGACAATAAAGATAAAGGACAGAGAGTAAGAGACACAGCTACACAACTAGTAGCTTTATTAGATGATGATGAACGATTAAAGACCGAAAGAGCGCGTGCAATTAAAGCAAAAGAACGATCTGCACAAAAAATTTCTAGTTTTGGCAGTGATGGAAATGTAAAGATTTTTTATTTGTATTATATTTAAGTAATTTAATGATGGTGGTGGTTATTATGTATTTTCTTTATTTTTGTTTTTACGCTATACATTTCGTTAGACAACTCCACAAAGTCCTAAGTATCCATTGGTAAGTTCATTACGTAATATTTTATGGTTTACAACAAAAATGCATGTACTATCTACTAATGTCTAATTGTGCAATAATAATAATAGTAGTATAATCTTTTAATGATACTTCTGAGACTGGTAATTAAAATATTAACAACTTAGCGATTGTATTTGTATCTAACAATAAATTATTTTTAAACCATAGTGTACCTAGTATAGTAATATTATGATTATTTAAATTATACATTTTAAAATAGTTCAATTCTTTTAATTTAAAAAGTAGACCTACAATTATTCTTATTTTTTGGGATCTACTTTACCCTGACTTTACTCTCCTCTCTAAATTATTAAATACAAACAATAACTATTCAATAAAAAAAAATTATTTCAATAAATAAATTAATATTTTAATTAATAAAAAATATATGTATTGAAAGTATTAAAACCATTGTACTATTTTATGTTTAAAATAAGTACTATAAGTATAAATGCATAATTTTGTAAATCATAAAATAATAGTTTATTTATTTTTTGTAGTTCCGAGATTCCTATGGTTTATATGATACACGACCTCCTGTAAAAGGTTTGTTGATTGTTATTGTATTTGTTTAAAGGTCAGAATGGTGGAATTTTTTGTTTCTATTTAAATTAAACTTAGTGTAACTAATTTTTTTCCCAAACTTATGAACTTTTAGATAATATAAGATTTGATTAAGAACTTAATATGAAATCATTCAGGATAATATTTTTTGTTCACTTTATTGTTTTTTTAACTATTAACTAGGGTGATACCTTATTTTTTTTATACTAAAAACCACCAAGTAACTATAACTGATTTAAAATGTTATCCATTTTAATCTTTAGTTAGGTTCACAAGTTTAAAAACATGTAATCCAATATAATTTTAACTGAACTTTACTTGGAGTCATTTCATCAAATACATTTTAATTTTCTATTATGTATAATGTTTACAATACTATCTAGGCTCAAGGTGAGCATAGCAAGATGAGTGCCCAACGCTTATTTACTATTTCCTGTTCGGCTATTTTATTATTTTAATTTGAGTAGTGGTTTTTAACAATATAAAAAATATACCAGTGTTTTTCTTTTGATTGTACAATCTATTCATTTAGTTTAATATTTACCCCTTAATATTGGGTTAAATAAAAATTTGCTACACTTTGTTTTAGATAAAAAAAAACATAAAATTCTATTATTACAATTTATGCTTTTATAATTATAGTAAAGACAATAAATATCAAGTATCAATATAATGTTGTTATTTGTATATTAATTTTCATTTGTAAAATTATTTAACCATTAAATACATGTTATATATATTTCAGCGGAACTAGAAAGTGCTCGTCCACAGACTGTTGGTGAAGAAGAATTACAATTACAACTAGCTTTGGCTATGTCTAGAGAAGAAGCTGAACAAGAAGAGCAAAAAAGACGTAGCGACGATGTGCGGTTAAAATTGGCACTGTCTCAAAGTGAAAATGAATTCAAGTAAATTCAAATTCATTATAATTTAAATAAAAAAAAGTAAATATGTTTATTTGGGTTAAATAACAAACAATATTGCTAGTAGTGGTTCAGAATCTGGAGCTAATAGTAGTAGTGGCAAGAGCAGTAATATGTTGGACCTATTGGGAATTGATCTAGACAATGATGCAGATCAAAATGGTGCAACAGGAACAGCAGCAGACCCTTGGGGTATGCCAATAAAAACTCAACCACAGGTAATATAAACTAAAAACAGAACTCATTATTGATAATAAAATATTAATTTATAGTACATTTGTTATTTAACATAAACAAAAGCTATTTAAATGAAATAAATTAAAAATAGTTTAATATTCATAATATTATATTATGTATTATTCAACCAATAGTCATTAATATATTAATAATATAAGCAATTTTACCATCTGTTTATCAGTTGTCTTTCACTAAAGTTCTAAACATTAAAGAAACTCGATCCATAACTAAGATATTTTTTATTCCAGCCTTTAAATTGGTCTAATGGAGATTTAAATAATGGAACGCCGGGCCGAGCTGTTGACCCTTGGTCACCTGTTACACAAAAACAAAATGCCGCTTCTTCTACTCATGTATTGCCAAATGCAAACAATGGTTAGTAAAAAATAAACACACTTATTGTAATATTATGTCAATGGCACATAAAATCATTTAATTCTGTACAATTATTTTTAAGGTGTACATCCTTGGTTATCGCAAAATACATCAGCTGCAGCAATGGCTCCACCGGACCCTTGGGCTCCTGCAACAATTGCTCAACCTTTAAGCAAACCAAATCAAGAATTTGATGAATTTGCTCTTTTAGGAAATCGATCATTACAAGCAAGTATGTATAGAATCAGATTTTTTTAAATATTAGTTTATTTTTTTTAAATGTATTTGTTATTTATATATTAATATCAAATTTTATATTATATTTATTTATTTAGAACCTACCTCGGATCCATTTGACCTATCCCATTTAAATAACGAACTACTAGGAACTTCACAAACTTCAACGTCTGGTAAAAAGACACCACATAGTTTCTTAGGGGAAAATTCTGCTTTAGTAAATTTGGATAACCTAGTGACAGCTCCTATTAATCCAGCACCAGTTGCACAAATACGACCACCTGGTATGTATATTTTTCTTTAAATAATTTAACCGTAATGTTATATATTACATCATTACATAATAGGGTAATTGTTAATAACTTTTATTCATATCCAATGTTGGTCAAATAATTAGGTTATTAACATCTCTCATATTGTAATTAATGATTTAAAGTTATTAATAACACAACTTAACTGTTTATAGTTGTTTAAATTTAGATGTGATAGAACCTAATACAATTATATTAATTGTATAATCTAAAGTCTTATACCGTTATATGGTTATATCTACTATATTGTACTCAAGTTTTTTTTTTTAAATATTTTAGGCATGGCAAATCCATTTGGTTTAACACCACAACCTCCATTTGCCAATCAACCAACAGCTCCATCTGCATTCAGTGGTCCAACTACTTCGGCTTTGCCACCACCACTTGTGCCGTCACCAAATCCGTTTCTGTCGTAGCAAAATTAAAGGACTCTTCTAATCAATTACCAAACGATTAACAATATCAAAGTTATATTTTTTTATAATTGTTTCCAATTTCCAGTAATGTTATGTTTGAGCATCTTCTTATTTAAAGTGTAAATAAATTAAGAAAAAAAGAGCTTGGAAAAATTAATTTGGGCTTTAAGAATAATTATAATAAATACTTACTATTATAACTTATAATAGTAGTAAAGTTATTTAATTACAAACACAAATCACTATTGTGTATAGAGATGTGAAGAAAATTATAAATTTTTCAACCATAGCTAAAATATTTTGTATTTTTGCAGACCTTTAAAATATCTTAGTACTTTTGATAGATACATAAAAAGAAGCTACTTCATAATACGTATCATTAGCAATTATTATTAGAAATAATAATTTATTACCAATGATTTTTAAAATATGGACTTAATATGTAAGGTATACTATTTAATTGCAATATTGAGCTCAACGTGTTTAAAATAAAAAAATAAAATTACTTTATTATTGTTAAACGCACTGAATATATACCTTTTTATACATAAATATAATAAATATATAACTTAGATTTTATTTATAGACGTTCCGATTTTGAAATGCCCGCTATTTATGTCACGCGTATTTTTCTATGTAAATAAAAATAGTGGGTGTGAAAACGAGTGAGAGATGTATTGTATTTTTTTAAACAATTTTAAATCCGCGTAGTTTTTATTTAATTAATTTTGTGACATTGCCTGTGGTACATTATATTGTAAAACTTAAAGCTGTGTTGATAATTATTATAATATTATCATCAATTGGTTTTTATAACAATAATTGTTTTATTATTCAATCATTTATTATTGCCCGGTGTATTTATAATACCTAAATATATATATTATTTTATTTTGTTACAGTAATTTTGAATGTTATTTATATTTTATTTAGTATAGACCACGGTTATAGACGTATAGTGATAGTAATCCGTTTTTATAAGATTGATAACTGATCCACAATAGTTTGTGCTTTCAGCCAGTGATGAGGTCTGGCCCCTAATTTAAGTATTCCTATTGAATAATACATTTAAATGAGTACTAAATATTAATAAAAATATTATATACCTAGGTATTATTTATTATAGAACATCAATTTCCGATGCAGCATTATTTCCTTAGTTTGAATTATTTAGGCATTCTATTGACTCAGGTATCTTTCTTTCTGCCCTTAAACTTGGCTCAATTAGACCCATATTTAAGTCTGGTGATACAGATGTTTCAAACTAACGTTCAACAACTATCCTCCCCCATTTATCCAAATTATTTGAAACGCTTCATGCTTGTCCTTAACTCGATTCACTCGTCCTTGAATCATATTCTAATTGATAAGCAGCATGGCTTCCGTCCTGGTAGGCCAACTGTTACTTGTAACCTTAGTCTTCATTCATATATATATAAATGATTATTTTCGCGATAACTGCCAAGTAGATGTAATCTATACAGATTTTTGATCGTGTTGATCATAATCATCTTATGTCAACACTAGACTATAGACATCGGCGAACCTCTACTATCCTAGCTTCACTCTTACATCACAAATAGGATCCGATGGGTAACGGTTGATTCCACCTCTTCGGACCACCTTACACCCTCATCAGGTGTACCACAAGGTGCTGTTCTTTCTCCACTTCTGTTTGCCCTATTTGTAAACTCAGCCGCCTTCGTCCTCCAGCATGCCAAACTCCTTATCTTTGCTGATGATATGAAAATCTTTTTCCTTATAAAATCCACCTCTGACTGTCACCTTCTTCAAAATAACTTTTAGCGATTAGTGACATGGGGTAAATCTTTAGGACTAGCTCTTAATATTTCTAAATGTTTAGTAATGACTTTTTGTTGTATTAATGCTGTAATCAAGCATACTTCTCTGTAAAAAATACCCCCATGATAAATTGTAATAATTATGTAAAGGATTTAAGATTTACTCTTACACGGGACCTGTGCCCTAATATGCACATTCAGATAATCTGTTGTAAGGCTCTTAAACTGCTAGGTTTCATAAACCTTGTCTCTACAGACTTTCACTAACTACTCAACTAAGACTCACCACTAAAAACTCATCTGTTCCTTAGCCTGTCCCATCCTTGAGTATGGAACCATCTTCTGGGACCCGTCCACCGCTTATGCACGTAACATGATAAATTGAAAGGGTTCAAAGAAAATTCCTCCGTCACGCTGCATATAAATTAAACATATCCTGTCCACCTCACGATTACACTCCAATCCAACGCCTTTTTTCCCTAGAAAGCCTCGCTGATCGTCGTCACTCAGCTAACTTATCACTTTTATCTAATCTTCTTTCCTCTAAAATTGACAGTCCAGATTCACTGTCCTGTGTCACATTTAATGTCCCCTCCCACAGTACATGATCATCTGTTCCATTCCATATACTTTTCTCTTCCTCAAATTACTATCTTAACTCGCTGATCATCCGTCTTATTCGCATTGCCAATACTGACCCTACATTCTCACTCTAAAATTGAGCCTCGTTTTCATAAAGCAAATTATTACTATTTATATTCATGTTACTACAGGGTTTATCCCGATTGTAAAATAAATAAATACATTTTAAATTTTGAGCCCCCAATGCATTAACTAGATTCACTTTGCCATCGAACAAGATACTGTTGAATGTTTTTACATAGGTTTGTACCATCAAAAAGGTTCTTATAATCAGATTTACAAATTTGGCTATTTTGAATTTTTCGAACAATATTTAAATCAAATTTAGTTTTTTTATTTTATATGTTTAGAGTAAATTACTATAAATTATATATAAAAAATAATTTTTAAATATTAAAAAAGTTCTTTCATCTGTCGGGTCTTCCTATTGGCTGTTACATCCTTCAGTATAAATATAGACTATAGTTACTTGAATAACAAAAACTTATTCACCATTGATCATTAACAGTTAATACTTTGTGGTGAAAATGTGGATAAATAATTGACTCTTTATTTGTAAGTGTTGATTATAGGCCTTAACGGGGATACCCCAATAAAATACCGCACCATGTGAGGTAGGTACCTAATACCATTGATTTTAGAATATACTATATTAAAAATCATATTCTAAAATCAATTCTAATAGGTACCTCATGCATTTAAACGGTCTTAAATATTCCAATGTTGTGATGTTTGAGCAAAAGTGGTGTGGAAATTAACACTTGTATTTGTTGAATAAAGAAACTTCGATGTATATTGTTATACATAGGTATTTTTCAGTGCCGTAGTCACGTAGACATAATTTCTGAAAGGGGGGAGTCAAAAAAAAAAAAAACCACATCTAATACCTAAATGGGGGGGTTGGAAAATCCCCCACCATCTCAAAACTTTTTACTAAGGTAATAAAAAGCCAATGAGAAGGGGGTCTGACCCCCATGTCGCCACTTATCTACTCCACTGGACACTGGTATGTTTATACGTTTACCAAAATGTCTTGTCTACGGACTACGACGCACTCTTTAAAAGCTGAACTATAGGTTTTGTTATAAATAATTTGAGAACAAAAACTTATCGTGAATATGCTGCTCACCCAATTTGAATGATAGTTAAGCATTTATTTAAATTCTGGTTTTTGGAACTTCTAAATATATTAGGTATGTAGTCAAACAGTCAAAGACTATAGTTATTACTTCTTAATAATACTATATTCTTACGATGTATTTTAAATAACGTATATTTTATGAATTTAAAAACTTTATTGAGGCTATATATTAATAGTTAATTTTTGACACTATTTTGAAAATTTGATTATAGCGTATATTAAGTAGTTACATAAATATTTGTTGAAAAAGTCATGGGTATTAATTTTGTAATAACAACTAAAAAGTAAAATCGGTTTTTCCAATATAAATAACTAGTTTTGCACTTTGGAGTAAAAATGCCGGTTCTTCCCTAAATTGTTTTTGTAAAATTATATTTATTTTTAAAAATACTTAGAATATTTTTACTTATCAAAAAAGTTCCAGCTATATCAGAAACCACGTCTTGTTACCGCACTAGCTACTTATATTATGATTAACATTGCACAAATGCACAATAACATTTAAAAATGTTCAATATATTTAAATTAGGTAATATTTTTAGTTATTTTTACCACGAATCTACATATATTCACACCGATCTATGGTATGCGGCGGTCGGTAAATGTCGGTTGTCGGTATATTGACTATAAATATTAATTATTATAATAACTAATAATTTTATAACAGTCATAACTCATAGCCCATAGCAATATTATATGAAATTGCATTATGATAATTGCTAATATTACTAGCTATTATTATAATATAGATATTATTTTTTTTTTTTTGGAAAAGATTGGTTCAACCTTTTGTATATATTAATATATTACTAATAGAAAAGTAAATGACTAATGTATAATAAAAATATATAATCAAATATTCAAATATTCTTAGAAATATAGGCTGACTCTGCTCAAAATCGTTTTTTATGCGTACAATGATTTATCATTGAATTTCAATTTAAATATTTAAAGCATTCATTAAAGTGACTTATGCTCATTTATAACTCAATGACAATAATAGGTAGGCATAAGTGAAATTTCCCCGATTTTTGTTCAAACATTTGTAATATCAAAGATCAAACCACCGGCGTGGTCACAACATACACAATATTATAACAATATGACCGTAAAAAAATATTTAAAAAGGTGGGCAAGTGGGTGTCGCTCTGCTGTACAGTAGGTTACAAGTTTGTCACTGTATAATGGATGGTATTAAATTTGAATTCAATGATATAATATCATTGTATAAGAAAAACGATTCTGAGCGGTGACGGTATGTCAGTCTATGTATAAGACATTTAGACATATTATATACATATCTATGGTATTAAACAAAAAATTAACCTATAATAGGTAGGTACCAATAATAAATTCCAAATTAATCATATCACAATATCCATTAGATACTTATAACGCGTTATACATCAACAAAA